AGTTAGAGAGGGGGTGGCAGTGTCTGAGTGGTTAGAGCAGTTGTCCTCCAATGTGAGAGTTGGGGGTTCGAATCCACCAGCAGTCACATGCCGAAGTGTCCCTGAGCAAGACACTGAACCCCTCATAGCCTCTGATGTGTGTCCCATCGGTGTATGAATGTGATGTAAAGCACTGATTAGTCTCATTAGAATGATTTGTTCAATTAGCTTTGTAGAGATCTAGTGCTGTGTGGATGGGTAAATGAGCCACAGATTGTAGTGTAAAGCGCTTTGAGTATCTTGAAACAAGATAGAAAGGCACTATATAAGTACAGTCCATTTACCATTTAGAGGATATGGAGGTCGTTGGAGTGAGGACAGAGGATGCAGAGGACAGAGTGAGAGGAGAAGATGACTCACTGTGGTGACCCCTGAAGAAGGAAAAGCTGAAAGAAGAAGTCAACTTCCATCAGTCACTGACAAGATAAATGTCCAACAGAAAATAAACTACTTTTAATCACCTGCTGACTGAAGAACATCCTAAAATTTTACATATCGAACAGTGTCATTGTTCATCTAATATTAAATTGTTCCTTGGCAGCACAAAAAGCCAGCAGGATAATAGACCAGATACAATAAATCCTTCAAATCAAAACCCACTCCCTGATAGGAAAAAAAAAAGTCTACTCTCCCATCTCAAAACATTTATTACGTTTTTCTGCAGGAACTCCTTGGTTTAGCTTAGAGAGACAAGATTTTATTGTTAAAAGGTTAAATATACTGGGTTCGATGAGCCATCGATGAGACATCGATGAGACTTTTTATTTTTGAGTGTAAGCTTCTTTTTCTTCAGTCTAATGTTTTGTTTTTCAGCAAGTTTGTTTGTCATAATTTCTTTTTAGTCTACAAACCTATTCAAACTATGATTTTTGATATGTAATAAATAATCTATTAATAATAGATTACAATTCTATTTAATACAGTTAAGCTGCATAATAGTCATTATAAATGGTAATATTACTTGAACTAGTACAAATGTGTCAATTTGCCTTACAAAGATGTTCCTTGATACAACTGTCATTTGATCTCTTTTTGATGTATTTAATCGTCATGTAATATATATGGTTGTTTCTTTGTTTAAGACCAATATAGTTTTTTTTAGTTTTTTTTTATCAAAGCTATCATGATTTACACTGTTTTCACCCAGAGTAGACAAATGACAGTGAGAGAGACGACCATAAAAAGGTAAGGGACCTTTATTTACAGTGAAAGGATATAAGAAAACCAGAGCTCCAGAATGACTATGCCAAGAACTGGAAGATAATTATCCTACAAATGTGTGTTAAACAGTCCTTGGTTGTCAGAATGTACCCTTATTTTTTTTTTAAGTATGTAAGCTCAATCATCCAGACAAATGAATCACAAAAAAAGTTAAATTGTCATCTGAACAGATTCTTCTTGGAAGAGAAGTTTCATCTTTCATACGAAAGACTTTGTCAATCTGAGGCCTGCCAACATGTTCTGTTGTATAAATAGCACCTTATTGACTTGTTTCAAGACACCTTGTAGACAAGGAGAGTAGGGAGTAGGATTCTAACAGGTGTGGAGCAGGAGCAGATGGGGTGAGTATTGGTTTATAGGAGAGTGACAGGACGGAAACTCAAAAACTGACCCAGTTAGAGGATGAGGGGCTGAGGTAAGTGGTTCCAGGTAGTGATGGGTCCTCCTATGCCGCAGTTTCGGAGCGTTTGTCAAGAAGTCAGAAGTTTTCAGTAAAGCACGTACCAAAGCTTGTGTCGTTGAGGGTGAATGGCATCTGTCGTGGCCTTCTACATTCCAAACCACTATTTTCCAAGAAAGGCCGTGTGTGGCAACAGGTGGTAAGTTTCTTGAACGCACTTCCAACTTGATTGTTTGAAAAATATATGTAGTTTCTCACTTTTCTCACAATTGAGAGACTTAGTCTCTCCAGGTTGTCCTGGGTCTTCCCTGGGGTCTCCTCCCAGTCGAACATGCCCAAAGCACCTACCTTGGGAGGCGCCCAGGCAGCATCCTTACCAGATGCCTGAACCACCTCAACTGGCTCCTCTCAATGTGGAGGAGCAGCGGTTCTACTCGGGGTCTCGCCGAGATAACTGAACTTCTCGCCCTATCTCTAAGGGAGAGTCCAGCTATGCTGTGGAGGAAACTCATTTCAGCTGCCAGTATCCTCAATCTCATTCTTTCGGTCACTACCCAGAACTTGTGACCATAGGTGAGGGTAGCTCAAGGTAATCAAGTATTTAATCTAAAATCTTAACTTAAATGCCTGCATTGTACTAATCCTTGATCAACATTTGTTTTTCTGATAATCATTCTGAATAAAATATCTAATGTAATGTAATGTAATGCCTACATTCTAAATCTTAAAATATTGCAACGCTCCTATTTATTTTATCCATTCATTGTTTCTCTTTTTCATTTTCCTTGTTTTCAAGCCATTTTCATTTTATATTTGGAAAAATTTTCAAGATTACCAAGCAGCTGAAGTGTTTCAGTTGATTGACACATTCTTATATTATATCTGTATTTGCTTGCAATCACTAGTTCAGAACGGAAGCATTTCCAGAAGATGATAATGAGGTCATTGTTTTAGTAAATGTATCATTGATGGTACTGTTAGCCTGTGAAAAATATAAAAAGACCACAAACACCAAGAGAAATGGGACCCTGTGTACACAGTTTTGTACCACATGTGATGTGAATGACAAAGAAACTTGAACCTTGAAATAAAAGAGTTCATCAAGCCTGCTCAGAAAATCTATTTTGAGCGCCACTAAAAGCTATTTTAAAAAATGCTCATCATTTGATTTTATATCTGACCTTACTTTCAGTTCAGTGTATATCATGACCCAGTATAATCTTTTATTCATCTTCATGTTGTTCAATTCAATTTCAGTGTTTATGTTGTCTCTTTAGATTTTTTTTTTACTTTATGAAAAAAGTCAACTATGTAATTCTTTAAATGTATTTTATGTATAAAAAACAGAAATATATATATATATATATATATATATATATATATATAGTAAATACAAAACACAGCTGAATATTGGAATATTTTTATTTTTGTTTTGTTTGTTTGTAATTTTCTCCTAACAGATGTATAAAACAAATTAAAGATTGATTCATAAATCAATTTATGAAATGTGTAAAATAGATTTAATTTTGCTAATGATAAACAATTTTTACATCTCAACAACTGTAAAGGATACTTTAAATGTTTGAAGTCAGGTTTTGTGTAAATGCTATAAACTATTATAATTGTGTTGTTTACAGCTCTTTGGCTTCAATTTGGAGAAATATAAAATGCTTGGAGCCAGATTAAAACAAGTCAAATCTCAAAAACAATTGTATTGGTTCATACAATTGCTATTTTATATTTACTCAGCTACCAATTTCACAATGCAATACTAATCAGACAGAAACTTTATATTTTTGCAAGAAGAGCCCCAGGATGCATCAAAAGTGCTACAGCTAGCTGATGTTGTGGCTATTTGTGCTTTCAAAAAAACAAACAAAAAAATAGAAATCCAATTAATTAAACACGTAATCCAAACTGACAGAAGTGGTAAAGGTTAAAGAAATGTCGAAACATTTTTTTATTTTTATTTTAGCTATTTGAAAATGGCAGTAATTCATTTCGGTCTTGGCTTTACTCAAACTAGTGGTTAGCCGTCAATCCGGTCAGAAGGGAACTCCATTCCTCCAAACCGAGATCATTCAAAAACCTATCTACAACAAGTAAGATATAATTGTTCCCAATTTCTCCACATAACCCCACTTCAAAAGAGCCAGACAGTTGCTTTAAAAATGAAGCATGACCTTTGACACAAAGAAATAAATGGAGACATGGTAATGGATGCTGTGAAGTTCTTAAATGAGTTAAACATAAACAAGATTAAAAGATGTGCGTGAAACTGAATGTAAGTGGAACATCCAACTTGTGAAATGTGACGTAAGCTGCATATGATCAAATATAGAAAAATCTTCTTAAAATGTAAATCATACATTTATAAATGTATAAATTTATAAATGAGAATTATTGCAACATTTCAATTCAAATGCCAACGTTTCGCCATAGCCAATTTTAGTATTCTCCGTCCGCTTATTTTGTTAAGTAAATGCTAACAACAGAATAAATGAATCCAATCTGAGAATCTTGTTAAAAATGTATGCTCTTTGAAAGAGCAACCCTGCCACAGTGCTGGAATGTATTTGGGGCAGCCTCCTATACACAAAGCTCTTTCTGTGAAAAGGTCAAATCATTCATTCGTGCCGTTCTTTTTCCTTCCTTCTCCAACCTTTTCTTACCATCCCCTTGTGCCCAACCAGCCAGACTTACTCCTTGTGTTTATACGTTGGCCCATGTAGCATAAGCTAAAACTAAACTGCCCTTTACCTCATGTAGAAATAGCTGGAAATCTAACCGTTTGAGCCTTTTTAAACTATTTTGACAGGTTACTTTTTTCCACCACCCCCATGAGCACTGGAAACTGGTGTTGTGTGTGTGTCTGAATGTACAACTCTGCATTGCTCGCCTTTCCTGTAAGCTGACAAAAAAAAATATTTCACAGCTTACGAAGCATTGCTTCGCGAGACATCGGTGTGCTTAGTTAGATGTCATTGTAAGTGTACGTGTTCATAAAGGAAATAAATTGTGTTTTCCTTACAATTCTATAATGTGATGTGTAGGGGTTTGCTGCCAGTAAAATGTCAAGTTTAATTTAGCTTTGGTCTGCTTCTGGCACTATAGCTCCCACAAGACCAGACAGAGGTGAAATATATAAAACTAGAGTCAAATGGCACACTTAATGACAAGGAAAAACTCCTAGACGGAACGTAGCCATCTCTTGTGGTATAAGTTGTGCCGTGCCACATTGTTTCTCCCTACTCCTCATGTAATTGCAAAACACTGAGTCAGTGGTTGAAACTTCACAAGTGATGAAAATATAACCATGTTTTTTTCCCATTTCATTTAGTATTTTGGTATTTATATACGTTATTTCTTCTGCCTTTTCCCCAGGTGAGGTTCTGAGCTTAATGGATGACCTGTTCTCTGGTTTGAGTTCGTCCTGTGTTGTTGCGGGGAGAAGGAGTGGAGACCACCCCCAATCCGTGGTGTATTCGGTTGTCTTCAAGTGCCTGGAACCTGACAGCCTCTACAAGTAAGTCTGTGGATGCCCTTTGCTTCTGTCAAACGACGCAGACAAACCAAGCTGTAATGATGTTCATTATCTCCCCGTCATGTCAGAAAGCAGAAAAGAGGTACGCAGACATCCCTATGGCGTAAATCAAAAAACGAATGAAAGAGTTTACTGGTTGTGTTTCATTGTAGGTAACTGTTTTAAGGGCTGTTTTTTACTACTTTTTAAAGAACAACAAAACACTACCTTTGCATTAATTATCGTTGAATCTATATCTAAAATCTAAAATAGTTAATAATTGGTTTTAAATTGTTTTTACATTTTGTGGTGAGTAATGGGTTCTGTTCCAAATTTATGGGCAGACTGTTTTAATTCAAATTTTTAGCCCGTCTATTCAGAATAGTTTACATAGCCAGGGTTTAGCAAGTCAGATAGTGTTTTTCAGTCCAGTTATTTTTTACCACTGAATTGCTTTTTTTGTCATCATTGGGATGAAACACTATACATTCACTTATTCACACTGCTGACATGATTGTCATCAGTTGAGCAATAGATTTTGGTAAACTACTGAGTTGGCCAATTCATTGTCAGTATAAAAAACATGAAACAACATGGGAAATTTAAGCTCTAAACAAAAGAAATTCAATGAAAAAGAATAGTTTTAACAAATTAGCAGTTTCCTAGAAATTCTTGCATGCAGACCACAACAAACATGTGGGTTTTCATGAATTTTTTTCTACCTCTGAGTTATGTAAATATATCTTTTCAGGGAAAAAAATAAAAATTACATTTACTTGTATTTTTCCTCAACAACTGTATTCACAATTAATTTCAATGCCAGAAATTAGTATCGTGCTCTAACTGACAACAAAGCATGCATTTTTGAACACTCTTTATTTCCAAATCAATTATATATTTACAACCATTTATTGGGATTTAATATATAACCTAAATAATCTGTTTTGTTCTTTAACATACTATCACAAAATAAACAATCAAAAAAAAAAAACCTTGAGCCGAATTGAGGGCAACCTTTTTAATTCATAACAAGAATTGTACTCTTCTTTACTTGGTAGCCCTCCCAAAAATGTCAAGTCTTTGAATATGTATAAATAAGTTTTTACCATAGTCAGCAAAGGTGTCGTGTGAAAGAAGATGCCTGTGAAGGAGCAGGAAGTGGTTGTGAATACCATTTTATCAAATTATTATCACATTTTATATATGTAACTGCATAAAAATATATATTAAGTA